AAAATTTCTCTCTGTAGGGGCAGCAGAACTCCGACTGTATCTCTGGAGAGTACATAAAATTACAGCAAATGGTTGCGCCACTGACAGGTAATAGATCAATAAGTGTGGATACAGAAAGCCCCTTAAGACAGTGCCTCCACTGTTTGCAGAGGGAACAAACCCTCTTCTTCAGAAAATTATTTTTCCCTTTACGTTGTTCCTTGTTAATGAATAAATTTTTATCTGTTAAGTCAATATGACATTTACCTTATTTACCAATTTATACTTATTTTATGTGGCATTTTATTTCTAGGGGTATTCTATTACCACAGCTTCTTGATGTTCAACTTAAAAATTCAAAAGTGCTGAAATCATTAACTAAACAGTTTTATTGATACATCTTGTTTGCATCTTAGGCTTTTGAAACAGAATGAAACTTTAGTAACCTATTATTTATTTTCTGGGGTGGAAGGGGGAGATTAAATCTTAATGTCAATAGATTAATAGTGGACTTTCCATATGAGAATATCTTTAACATTTTTATTTCATTTACGTGATAGATTATAAACACATGGTCTGCTCTTGAAATGTTCATTGCATTTACAGGTATATTACTTTCCAAAAATACAGTTAAAGAATTATCAGTAAGGCTTCTAAGATGACTGTTCAAAAGCTAGGAAAGCAATCTATGCAAGTCAGCTCAGCACCTTCTGTATACTTATTATGCTGACAGTGATATCAAGATTTTCTGATTATGTACCATTTTTCCACTAAATCCATTCAGTGCACACTGGCCAGTGTTCTCTATGCAAGTACATTTTTAATATTTCATTTACCATCGTTCTTGAGTGTGTGGCCTTAATCATGAGACTATCCTTTTTCTTCCTGCTTCACTAAGTACGTGGTTTTTAAGTGCTGCAACAACCGATAAAAGAATTTTTTACTCAGGTAACAGCTTCATTTCCTAAGTAATAATTACAAACTGTGCTCATTCCACACAGTCCACCCTAGCTATGGAAAGGGTCCTATGAAAAATACTATCCAGCCATGTAACCAAAACTAATATTATAACTACATGGCACGGCTGAACAAGACACTCCAAGAGTGAGTTTTCACCCTTTGCTTAGGTCAAACACCATAGGTTTGATGAGATACGCTATTTGCTGAAAGGAACATCCAGGTGAAGAATACCCCAGGCTCACAACAAGTTTCAGAGAGAAATTACTTTAGACAGAATAAGAGGTGACACAGAATCAGACCTATTATGCTCTATATTTCCACCTGTCAGATCTCCTCAGTTCTTCACTCCCTCTCCAGTTACTCATCTTAATCTTCCTTTGCCTCTCTCCTCTTGGCCCCTGTTTTCCAACCTGCCAGTACAAGGTTAGGAAAAAAATCTTCAGAATTATACCTGAAGTCTCTCCTGAGCAACAGGAACTGAGATATAGCCTGTAGAGTGGCAAAATTTAAGAAATGCTTTACACAACTAACAAGACACGTATCTGATAAAATATTTCCATATTTCAAGTCTATGAAACTATGTGGACATGAGCAAAACCAGACTTTGTTTTCTTTCTTAACATTGGCAAAATGAAGGAGACACCCAATGTGGGGGGATAGAAAAACCCAACCCAACAAAACTTGCAGCCTAAAGAGCTAAATTTTGGCAAAGTTATAACAACAGGGACTTATAATGAAAGCCAGACCCCTTTAATAGGTAGCAATGGCAGCCCCACCTATAATATAGCCCATAAAGGACTTTCTTTGAAGATTTAGTAGGCATTCTCATTGAGTGAGCCTGCACACATTTACAGCAGCTGAGAATTTGACATGTACGTATTAACAGAGCAAAATAAATCACAGCTTTTGCTGTAGCACCAAATGAGAGACAGTAAGAATAAAATCAGCTGCATTTACAAATAAATATTAACACTTAATTTTTTCCTCTTTCTTTGAAGTTCTGGAATGGATTTTAATGTGGCCTTTATTCAGTGCTAGATGTAATATTGATTTTTTTTAAAGCATTATTGATTTATATTTTATTAAGTTATTTGCAGATGATCATACCAAGGAAAAAACGATTGGGACCAATACTTGGGTAGGGTGAAATTAACTCAATTGTTAACTCAAAAAACCCAAAACAACCCACAACAATATGGATAATTTTACCACTTAAAAAGGGGTCACCATTTAGAAATAATTATATCATGCATATCTATAAACACACACAAACATATGCATATACTCTATGGCACATAGCATAAATAGCTCTGTGTGTAGAACAGCAGCGTACTCCAAAATAATTAATCTTTCACCCACTAAAACATCCCCAAACTATTAAACCTTTCTTCAGATTAGCTAGAATTTCCACCCCCCACACCATGTGGCCTCCTCTGTAAATACTTTTTTATTTCAGCTTACAATAAAAACATTGTTTTATTAAAATCAGATGTTTACGTAGAGTACCAAATATTTTATGCATTTGAAAGTTATCTGGGCATTTTTTCCTGACTACTATTTCCAGTGGAGCTAGTATTTTACATCCAAACCATCTAAGCAATACATCCGCTCAGCACACCTGCTCATCAATGCAAGGAGGAAAACCAATTGCCATACTAGAGCGTTTCTGGAAAGCCGCAGAGTGAGCTTTGTGGGTCCTGGATCTGTTCTGTACAATGCTCCTCTGTAGCTCAACAGGTGACAGAACACATCTGCTTTGCATAACATGTCCCTGTAAAAATCACTACAGAAACACCATTTCTAAGATCTTTACAACACCCGTAACTATCATAGAAGCCATGTAAGTCAGTAACCACTTAAACAGCACTTGGTACTTCCTATAAAAACATACTTGTGGAATTACAGCCGTGCTTTCCCCAAATAACTGTTTCTTCTGCTAAACATGGATGGACTTCATTATCCAAGTGTTTACTGTGGTATAAATGAAGAGAATTTCAAAAATGAAGGCCTGCATTCCAAACTGCTGAAAAGGCGTACGTAGAATATATCTGTGAATCTGTTCTACCTCAGTTGTCTCATGTCTATACTACGAAAAGCCCAAACTAGATTTGCACACATGAACATTTAACTTTGACGTCTGCAGTAAACGATAGCCCTAAGTGTAGCTCTAATGAAAGCCTGCGATTATCTGTTTGGTTGGTCTTTTCCCCCCAGATACTACAGTTCAACAAATCAGACTTCTCCGTTAGGCAATTTCTCTCTTTTGGAGAGCAGTACATTTGTTTGATCACCAGAGGAAGAGAAACACACAGGGGATTCTCTTCTGTCAATTTAGGTGGCCCACAGGAATGTTCGTTCTAGATGAAGGCAACTACTTAGATTGCCTTAAACTTCTGCGTGGAAATTTCTGTCATAAACAACTTGTTCTGTTCAAAGAAGTTAAGAACAATCTGTCATTTTCATTTAGTTTTATCTACATTTTATTTATTTATTGACAACGTATCTAAATTTTTGGCATTGCAAGAAAAATAAATACCCTTAGTATTAAAATCCACATCTAATGTTTATTTACAATCACTGTGTCTTTAACCACTGTTTACATTACAGAATTAAACAGTCATAATTTCTACTCTGCTTAGAGATTTGCATCACCAAACCTCATGAAATGTGAATGGACCAACAGTTTACAGGCAAAGCATCAGGTATAGCTTTGCACTCCTTTTTTTACTTAAAGCGCTATCATACTAATTTAGTTAAGAATAACCATTAAAACAGGCTTTTTCTAGAAGGAGGGAAGAAAAGCAAAGGTCCTGCACTGTGGAGATTTGTTGCAGGACAGCAAGGTAGCAGCAGCACCGTTACCTTTCCTCACATCCCAGTTAGTACAGCCTAGTGCAGCACACAGGTACGTGACGAACAGCCACACAAGTGTGGCTGAACTGTCCTTCCCATCCGTCCAGATAAAGGTTTTATCCAACACCTTGGGATAATCATCCTAACTTCGTTACCAGTTCTGTTGCCTGCAGCAGGTTGCCAGCACGGTAAAGAGCGCCTGCATGTTTATACTGCTGAACAAAGTGGGTCGGTGGGGGCAAGATCTCCAGAACTAGTAGGTGAGGAGGTCATATTCAAACATAAGATCTACTGCATGGAGATTCTGAAGAGTCTCACTGTACATCCAATGTGGAAAAAAATCTTGTATAGCGTTAACCTGCATGTTAAAAGAACAGCCTAGTCTTGAATTGAGTACAGGAATGTGAAGACGAGATAAAACAAGAACTTTAATTGCTGTTTAGGATTCTACAGAAGAACATTCTCCTCTACAGCCTGAAAGTTTAACTGCAAATTAATTACCATACCACCATAATTTGACTTTCACACAGATAACAAGAAGATTACAGCTCTCTAGTCACGTAAATATTCAGATTCAATTCTCTTACCCCAGGGTTTAAACTTCTACATTTAAAATATGCTTCCTGTCTTTATTTTGATGTACACCATTTCAAGAAACCAGTTTGATTAATGTTGGATCTTCCCAACTGTGCTTGTCATTTATTGTATGCATAAACTTCATATTCACTACATATATATAAACACAACACAAACTTAGAACTGTTATGATTGCTGTAACATTAGGACTTAGATTCTTAAACATAATTTTTCTCTGAAGTCATGGTAATTCATATGCAACTCACTATTCAATTTATAAAATTAGAATAATTTATATACCACCCATTGCACATGCGCAGTCAATTTCAAAGCATCATAAATGCACCTAATTATTTTAGTTTTAATTTTGTTAATTTTTAAGTGGATGAAGCAAAGATTTTATGAAAACACATACTTGAAAAGTAATTTATAAAAAAAAATCTTCAGTCTTTAACACATATAGCTTTGAAACCCATCCTACATTATCTCCTTTTCTTATATTTCTACATAGTGTGTGTATATATATATGGTAACTATTTCACACCAGGCAAAATTCATCTCAGCTGCATGCAAAAATCTGTCTTTTTGTAAAAATCAGCCTAGAAAAGATCTGAAATTAAATGAGTACTCACTTGTTTAGTCTTTGTTTTTGTAATGGTGTCCGAAATGGGTTTCTTCCTCTCTTTAACAGCTGTTTTAGAAAACAGTTCTTCAAACTCATGATAATCTATGGAAGGCTCTTCAATTTTTTCCCACACAAGTGAAGCACTAGAATCTCTAAAGTTAAGCAAAAGACCTATGTAGGGCAACGTCAAACTAAATAAGGTCATAAATGGAAGAATGAGGAAAGTAAAATAGTAGCAATTTAAAAGTTGTTGCCTAACTTCTACTAGCAGCATTTTAATAAGATATACTGCTGATTATCCCCCATACATCTTTGTTTGCTTCTTTGTTCACACACAAAAGGCTCATTTATATTCACCCACTTTACATACAGAGGAATATAAATAGGCTGTATATAGGCTATAGAACATACAAACATGGACACAAGAGAAGTAGAAATAGACAGTTATCTGCAGACCACCTGTGTGACAGTGGCAAGAACTTGAAAAGAAAGAAGAAATTCATCATTAAATTACAGCAGAAGGGTTTTACAATCAGTACTCAGAGACATAAAGAAAAGATTAATAAGGAAACTTCTTTTCATGACCAAGAATGATATTTTACAAACAAACAAAAAGCATCAACAACCAAAAACAAGTATATCAAAGTCATATCAAAGTAAGGGCTACCAGAATAGCTTTATGCTGCCATGCAAATAAATTGCAGTTTGAATCTGCCTGCTGAGCATACAAGGTGAAAAAAAAAAAAAAAAAAAGGGATTTCTAAGTCACTGGAGGAAGGAAAGAGGAGGGTAAAATGTGTTCACCATACATTCATCTACAGGGAAGACACTACCAAAACTTGCAAGCTGCTCCAGAGAGACACCAACTCTAGCTTGAAAGTTGAGGGGAAGCACAAATAGGACATTTTAAAAACCATCTCACGGAATGCCTAGTGGCACACAGTCACCCCCAGAACTCTGATCAACGCGTGGTATGTAACCCCAAAGAACAGCTGAAAACACTACCCTCAAAGAGTTTTCATGTGCAAACATTAGTCAGAGTTTGTGTGCTTTAAATAAAACGGGCACCCCATTTACGTATCCAACTACAGATAAAATCCTGTTTGCGCTGAGGTTCTCTCAAAGACCTGCCTAGCCGTAAATAGACTTTGATCATAACATATGACACCATCAGGACAGCCATAAAGTGAAAACACCACTCTCTTCACAACTCTACAACTTACCTTTTACTGTGGAGCTGAATTCTTGTCCAGTAAAGAGGTTTCATTGGCCGAGAAGGCTCTATCACATGTTTCCTGCTCCCTTTCTCCTGATTCATCCCCATTGCAAATAAACCAGATGGTAACGGAGGAGGAAGAAACCCACAGCCCTGTGGGACTGCTGGGTAGGTGCTGCCCTGGGCTGGTGCTGGAAGGGGTGGCGCTTCTCCAGGCAAAGGTGGTGGGGCTGGAGGTGGCATCCCCAACCCAGGCAAAGGAGGGGGTGGAGGGGGGACACCTGCACCAGGCAGAGGCGGTGGAGGAGGTGGAGGGGGGACACCTGCACCAGGCAGAGGCGGTGGAGGAGGTGGAGGGGGGACACCTGCACCAGGCAGAGGCGGTGGAGGGGGGACACCTGCACCAGGCAGAGGCGGTGGAGGAGGTGGAGGGGGGACAC